TTTACCAGGGTAGCGATGGAGGGAAAGATCTTCCAGGAGCAGACAGTGGTATGAGTATGTTCATTGTTCAAATAGAGTATTATGGAGGGCCTTCCTTGTGCCAGGCATTAATTGTGTTCTGGGTAAGAGTATGGGCTTTACGAAGAAAAGCCATGGGATGGGGATCAGCTGTGACATAATCAGTGAAACAGGCTGAGTGGAGACTGCCACACTGAAGAGCTAAAGCCCTGTTTAATGGGGACAGCTCCTGCTCAGATGCTGGCAGTCACAGCCATGTGAGCCTGGTAGGGTGTGATATGCTGGTATTTCAAGAAATGCTAGAATTCTGGAGTTTTTTTTTTTTTTTTCTTTTTTGAGACAGTCTCACTTTGTTGCCCAGGCTAGAGTGAGTGCCGTGGCGTCAGCCTAGCTCACAGCAACCTCAAACTCCTGGGCTCAAACAATCCTCCTGCCTCAGCCTCCCAAGTAGCTGGGACTACAGGCATGCGCCACCATGCCCGGCTAATTTTTTGTATATATATTTTTAGTCGGTCAATTAATTTCTTTCCATTTTTAGTAGAGACGGGGTCTCGCTCTTGCTCAGGCTGGTTTCGAACTCCTGACCTCCAGCAATCCACCCGCCTCGGCCTCCCAGAGTGCTAGGATTACAGGCGTGAGCCACCACACCCGGCCCGAATTCTGGAGTTTTATGTGAAATAGTTTAATGTTTAAAATACCAGCCACTAAATTTAAAAGAATAATCTTATAGGACAAACTATAACACATTTGTAGACTAGATCTCTGCATGTTTTTCTCTTTAAATGGACAGATGTAATTGTATGTATTTTTCACATACAACTTGATGTTTTGAAGTATATATACATTGTGGAATAGTTTAACTCACAAATACATTACCTCACATACTTATCATTTTTGCAGTCATAACACCTAATGTTCACTATCTTTGCATTTTTCAAGAATACGATATATCATCATTAACTACAGTCTTTGTGCTGTACAATGGGATCTCTCCACGTTTGGCAAGTTTGCCATTCTGATTTAACTCAATACTTAAAACAGCAGGCAAGGCTCCCAAACTGGGGCCTCTGTTTGGTCTCTAGCCTTCTTTCCACCTACATCTCTCCTTCCCTGCCACTCTGTGGCCCACTATGCGAAATCTGTTGCCCCGAGGAGCTTTGCTGTTCTTGCACATGTTGTTCTCTCTGCTTAGAGGGCCCTTCTCCACATCTCGGCTTCAGTTTTCTTCTCCTCACTAACATCTCCCATTCCTCAAAGGGCAGCTCCTTTGAGAAACCTTCTCCAATTCCTTCTCTGCACTTCCAGATGCCCTGGGCAGTACTTACCGTATTGTATCATCATTTTTTTGTCTGCTCATCTTTCTTTTCCACTAGACTGAGTGGAAAGCCAGCAACATAAGGGCGTGCAAGAAATATTTGTTTGGAAAATGAATAAATGGAACAAATAGATGCTTACACTGCTTTGCTATATGTAGACATGCACCAAGAAAAATAGTACTGGCCCGGCTCTGTGGCTCACGCCTATAAATGCTAACACTCTGGGAGGCCAAGGCGGGCGGATCGCTCAAGGTCAGGAGTTCGAGACCAGCCTGAGCAAGAGTGAGACCCTGTCTCTACTAAAATAGAAAGAAGCTAGACAACTAAAAATATATAGAAAAAATTAGCCGGACATGGTGGCGTGTGCCTGTAGTCCCAGCTACTCGGGAGGCTGAGGCAGAAGGATTACTTGAGCCCAGGAGTTTGAGGTTGCTGTGAGCTAGGCTGACGCCACAGCACTCTAGCCCAGGCGACAGGGTGAGACTCTGTCTCAAAAAAAAAAAAAAAAATAGTCCTCTTCCATATCTAGCCACTCATTTATTCAGTAAATATTTCTTGAGTGCCTATTATGTGCCAGGGACTGTTCTAGGTGATGGGGATACAGGAGTGAACATGCCAGACAAAGTCCCTGCACTAAACACCATATATGCTGTGATGTGAGATGGTGATAAATACTATATGGAGAAACATAAAAGTAGGGTAAGGGTTTAGAGGGTGACAGGTGCACTTTCACACAGGGTACTTGGGGAAGGGATCTCTGAGAAGGTGACATTTTGAGCAAAGATTTTACATATGGCAGAGAGCAAACAGTACAGACAGCAGGGAGAGAGCACACCAAGAAATAGCAAGTACAAAGGCCCTGAGGTAGAAAGAGTTTTAGCATGTTTAAGGAGTAGCAAGGAGGCCAGAGTGGCTGCAGAGGAGTGAGCAAGGAGGAGAGTGGTGGGAGATGAGGTCAGAGAGGCAATGGAGGGCCAGACTATGTTACCATCATCCTACGCAACCCCCCATTGAACACATAGCCTCGCTGAATAGGGTAAGAAACTTTGGCCTTGCTGGGATGAGTGGTGGCAGCTCCCGGGAGATGTGTGTAGGTCAAAACAGCTTCCGCTCTAGATAGATGTTTCTCTTAGTTCTCTCCTCACCCAGAGACCTTCCCACAAGGCTCTCAGATGTAGGTCCCACAGGAGGCCAGGCACTGTTTGCCTTGGGAGGGCCATGAACTGGTGGAGATTGGTCAAAGTTGTTTCCTGCTGGTTGGGGCTGGGACCAGGCTGTGCACCCCCGCCCAGTTGGAAAGGACTCTGGAGCTGTTATTCATCAGATATGCTGCTGTTTAGAACCAGTCTCGAGTTTCCCACCTCTGCAGGAAGTTTCCCACCTCGCCCTCTCCCAGGAAGTCACACTGAAAGAGTCAGGAGACCCATGTTCTACCTCTACAGTGAGTTGTGAGACCCAGGGCAAGTTCAGTGCTCTGTGAAATGAAGGATTTGGATTGGATATTCTAACGTTTTCAGGGCACATCTTTTTATTTTTTATTTTTTTTGTCAGGTCATATCTGTGTCTTAACTTTTTCTGCCTGGTGCGCCACCTGATTTCTGACCCCTGATGTGGGTCTTTGTGACCCTCCTCGTGCTGCTGCACCTGGGTGTAAGAACAGCTGGGCTGCTTATTCCAAAGCAGTGCAAGTGGCAGGGTTTGACCACAGCCCCAAGGTCTCTTCTCCTAACCATCTCCCTCCATGGCTTTTCCTTTCCTGCCTGCCCTGACATTCCTGCCATCAGTCATTCGCCACAAAGAAAGGTGGGAGGACTTCTCCAGGGGTGATACTAGGAGCCAGCAGGCCTGCACACCCACCCTGACCAGGCAGGGCTCAGTCATCCTCCTGGAGGGCAGAAAGGAAGGGCCTCTCCTCTAAGGGAGAGCAACACTAGCGAGACTCAGAAAAGGAGGCTCAGGCGAGGCTCTCTTCTGAGTGTTCTTGAGCAGCTGCAGAGCACAAAGAGCCGGGGGAACTAGGAAGCTCACCTCCTGGGAACGCCCTCGCGGCTGGTGGCGCTGAGGAACACCTTAGTCTATCTCATGCTTTGGCTTGGGGCTAGTCGCTGTGGAAATTATTCCTCAGCTGTGGATTTTTCAAACCTTGAGGCACAGTCTAATCCACCAAACAAGCCTAAGGAAGAGGACACTGACCTTCCCCCCAGAGTTGCTGCTGCAAAGGATTGTGGGAGTCTTAAGTTCTCCCTCCCATCAGAAGTGTGAGTTGGGCAGGAAGACTTGGAGGCAGTTTGAGGATAGAGGATGCTTGTGCAGATCAGTGGCCCAGCACCTGGGGTCAAGGAGGGACCTTGGATTGTAAGGGTTAGAGCATCCTGTGAATTCAGGCAGGCCTGGGTTCCAGGCCCAAACTGCTTCCTTTATGAGCTCTCTTTGCAACTATTAATACATAGTCATATTAGGAAATAGGATGTTCTTTTCGCTTTAAACCAGGAGTCATAAGATCACATGAAGTGGGCCAGGTATAAGCAGCTGGGGTGTGGGTGGGGCCTGTGAGCGCTGGAGGGTACATGCCCCATCTACAGGCAGTAGCCACTACTCAGCTATCCTCAGTTGTTGCCATGCTGCAATCTGCCCAGATGGCCCCATCTACCGGGGTTTTTTGTTTGTTTGCTTGCTTGTTTTTTTGAGACAGAGTCTTACTCTGTCACCCAGGCTAGAGTGCAGTGGCATCATGATAGCTCACTGAAACCTCAAACTCCTGGGATCGAACCATCTTCCCACCTCAGCCTCCCGAGTAGCTGAGACTTACAGGCACGTGGCACCATGCCTGGCTAATTTTTCTATTTTTTGTAGTGACAGGGTCTTGCTCTTGCTCAGAGTGGTCTTGGACTCTTGGGCTCAAGCAATCCTCCCTCCTCAGCCTCCCAAAGTGGGATTACAGGCATCAGCCACTTCACCCAGCCTGTTATTTTAAAGAGAAAGATCTTTATGCAATGATTTTAGAAATTTCCCACATTTCATGTTGGTAATGAATTATATTTGTATTTATGCAACAAGCGTGTTGATAGCACTTACTATCTGCAGGCACTGTTCTAAGCATTTTGCAAATAATAACGTATATAGTGCTTATAACACTCTTATGAGATAGGTCTACTTACACTTCATTTTATGGATGAGGAAAATGCAGCACAAAGAAATTAAGTAACTTGCCTAAGGTTCCTCAACTGGTAAGTGGCAGAGCCTGGGTCCAGAGCCAAGCTGCCTCATTCTAGAGTCCGTGTGCTTTGTGACTACGCTATGCTGTCTCTCATTAGCACAAGCACACGAGCACATCAAAGACAGTAGAAACAAAGCATGTGCAAAACACTGTGCAGCACTAAAAACAAACAGGCAAACAAACAAAAAAACCCTCAGGCCTTTTGTTTGCTTCCTTTGCTTTAAACCAAATCCGACATAAATTGGCACCTTCTCCATGTTCTGCTTTTATTGTCTGCTTGATACACTCTTTCATGCCTGGCTCCTATCATAACAATGCTTTTTTAATTTTCAGTTATTCCCCAAACTGATTTCTTTCCAGTCTTTCCTTTTTTTTTCTTTTTAAAGAATAATTTCCATTTTATTTTTTCCAAAGGGCAGTCTTTCTTCAGTACTTAAGGGCTGAACTGCTTACATGGGCGTTGGTGGAGGTTGTGGGGCAGCACTCACAGTTCTAACTCGGGAACGGGGTGTTCGGTCCTTGCGGGCTCCCCGACAATGATTTCTGACTACATTGCTATGAATGGCGTAACTCACGCAGGAATGTAGCTTCACAGAGAGCTTGGGAATCACATAGGCATCGAAGACACTTGCTTCAGAAATGTCCCTGACAGCTGCAGCCTGCACTATGTTCTCAATGACAAACTTCTTTATAGCTTTGTCTTTAAGCACACACCGGGCGCAGTTTCTGCAGCGAATAGGCTGCACGTGGCCATGGCCCTTTTGGGCACCACCGTTGTTCCTTCTTTTCTTTGTCATCTTGGAAGTGAGAAAGCTCACAGCAACCTCCAACTCCTGGGCTCAAGTGATTTTCCTGCCTCAGCCTCCGAAGTAGCTGGGACTATAGATGTGTACCATGACGCCTGGCTAATTTTTCTATTTTTTGTAGAGACGGGGTCCCACTGTTACTCAGGCTGGTCTTGAACTCCTGACCTCAGGTGATCCTCCCGCCTCGGCTTCCCTTAGTGTTAGGATTACAGGAGTGACCCTCTGCACCCTGTCCTTCCAGCCCTTCTATACAAGTAATCTTGCCTCTTTGCCTTTCTATCATTGTTGCCCTCTAAAATGCTACCTCTCCCTCTTTTCATTGTTCATTCTAGATATTCACCTTCAAAAACACTGCTCAAGTCCTCCCAGAATCCCTCTCCCCTGTCAGGTGGACCCCATGGAACTCATCCAGCTGTGGGGACTGAAGGCCCCTGGCATCCCTTGTCCACATTCCCTTTCTGTGCTTATTTGTTGTCTGCGTTGCATAATGCAGCCTTTCATAATCATATACTTCTTAGTATTAATACTTGCTTTGTTGTGTATTTGTATTGTCTTCCCAGCAAGAATGTGACCCTAGGGAGCAGGCACTGTGTCCTTTGCCCAGTGCCAGGAGGCCTTATCACATAACGGGCAAGGGCTTGGGCTTTGGAGCAGTCCCACCTGGGCCTAAGTCTTGGTTCTGCCACTGGCAAGCTGTGTGATTAATGGCAAGTCATTTACCTCTCCGAACTTCATTTTCCTCATCTGTAAAATGAGGAGCATAACTAATACCTCCTTCGTAGGGTTATTGTGAAACATAGGAAATGCTTCACCCAGGGCCTGAATGTAGCCTAGTAGGCCTTCCGCATTCAGTAGCACTTATTACTATGTCACAGGTACAATTAACCAGGTTGGGTAGCTGTGAAATTCTTTAATCTCTTGGCTCCAAGAGAATCTCTGGATTTTAGGGTTAATTTCATTCTGGTATGGCATTTTTAGGAACTATTGGATAGGACTGGGGGGCAAAAAGGGCCCTGAAATCATACGATTAGAATATAATTTTTCATGGTTCAAGTCAAGCTTGACCACTCCCAAATGGAAGGAATGGAAGGGTCTAGGTCCTCTTTGGCTTGAATGGGGTGTGCGTGGAGGGGGTGGCATGACTGTGCATGCATGTGATTTTTCCAAAGCAGAGTCTAGGATATGTGTTTGTACAGTGCGTCAAATTGCCTAGGAGTAGGCTTCCCCAAACACTTTAATGTACACAACAGGTTGAGTCACACTATCGGTTAACATAGAGTTCCTGGTACTAACTAACCCTTTCCAACCTCCCTACTATCACTAGATAAGCAATCCCAGGCTACTCAACACAAGCTGACTCATACTTATTGTTAAAACGTGACTCGCCAAAGGAGAACTTTCTTCATGGTTCTCCCCTCTAGGGCAAGAAACAAAGATTTCCCAAATTCAAGAGGACAGAAACCTTCATGGCCCTCCTTAAATATACCTCTGAAGTTCCTCTGCTTCACAGCCTTGCTGAGGTCCACTTCTGGCATTTTCTGGAGGCTTCTAAGGACTACCAATAATGTGTCCAGAGGGCACATTTTAGGGACAGCATGTTCACACTAGGTTCATTGCTGAGAAAAATATCAGTCCTTACACATGGGGATGGCAGGGAGAAGGAGGACTCTCACTGCATAATGACATCATAGAATTCGATTGAGCGTTTCCCTTACTGGAGGCCCTAGTGTGAGACTCCCAACTTCTTGGTATAGAGAATTCTAGAATGATGTGCTGCTTCCTCTTCTTTTTATTGTTTTTAAGACAACTCAGTAGTAACCTAGAGTGAGAAGGTTCGTCATTGTTGATGACGATGAAGATATGATTTCAGGTTTCTTTTCAACACATACATCAGGTCATGTGCATTCAAATGAGTGCCACCCTTGAAAAAGTGAATTCACCAAATAGCTCTCAAGCACTTATTATGTGCCAATACCAGGCCAGGTCCTTAAAGCCATATAGTAAGTTAACCATAAGTTAAGAGCATATGCTCTGGAGCCAACTTACTTGGGCAGAGTTCCTGGCTCTGGTGGTTACGAATATTTCTCTCTGAGCCTCAGTTTTAGCAGTGTGGTGGTTACTGAGGACTGAGGCTTTGGCCTACAGCAGCCATACTTGTGAGGGGGATGACTGGCAGCCATTTTGCTACTGGGAACTGGTAAAGCGAGAGAAAATGGCTGCTCACTAGACATATGCAATAAAGGTCGGGGAGGGAGAGCCAATAGGTATCCCCCACTGAAGAGAAGAGAACACTACCTAACTATGCGTGTGGAATGGACACGGCTTATGTAATGGAAATATTTGAGGTGGGCTGAGAGGGTTGAGAATATGAGTCCTGGGTCCACCTGTTACTATCTATGAAATTTTTTTAAATTGCTTAATTTCCCTGTCTTTCAGTTTCCTCAAGCCTCATTAGCCCCTACAAAATGGGGATAATAAGACTTCCTACCTCATAAGGCCATTAAGAAGAATAAATGAGATAATGAATACAAAGCGCTTAACACAATGCCTAGCCCAAAATGAGCACACAAGCATGTGTGCGTGTATATATGTGTAAAATCACCAAAACGTGGTCCCTGTTCCCCTTTAGAAGTTCGCAGTCTTAGAGCCACAAAGAAGACCAGTACACAAATAGCTAGGATATACTCTAAGTGACATATGAAAGGTATTAGCTAATGCGGCAAAGATGAGATCATATAATGTAGGAATTAGTAGACAATCTACAGAGGAGTGAGTGTTCATCCACGGTGAGGCTCAGAGGATAAGTATATTTTTAATTTTTATGGATACATACTAGTTGTACATATTTATAGGGCGCATGTGATGTCTTGATACAAGTATGTATGCATTGTGTAATGATCATGAGTAGATTTTTTTTGCAATTAGACTTGGTGGGGCAAGTGATCTAGGAGAATAGACTAGTCTATGTACGGTTGCAGGGGTGGAAGCATGGTAGCTCACACCTGTAATCTGAGCACTTTGGGAGGCCAAAGCAGGAGGATTGCTTGAGGCCAGGAATTTGAGACCAGTTTGTAAACAAAGAAGTTGGGAGTCTCACACTAGGGCCTCCAGTAAGGGAAACTCTCAAGTGAATTCTATGATGTCATTATGCAGTGAGAGTCCTCCTCCCTGCCATCCCCATGTGTAAGGACTAACATTTTTCTCAGTGATGAGCCTAGTGTGAACATGCTGTCCCTAAAATGTGCCCTGTGGACACCTTACTGGTTGTAAGACTTCTGTCAGCTCTGACATTCTTTGTTGTTACAAATAGCAGAAAGTAGGCAAGAAAGACAAGTTGGGTAACAGCTGAATGCTGGATAACAATGCTTATGTCTAAGAAAAAGGGCCATGGAAGATTTTTGAGCACAAGAATGATATGGTTGGACTTTAGGAAAACTTAACTGGTAGGATTACAAAGGATGGATTTGAGAAGGAGGAAGTGTGGAGGCCGGGAAATGGGCTAGGAGGCTACTGCCACCATCTGAATGAGAGATAATAGGGGCTGAACTAGAGTGCGGCAGAGGAGATGAAAGGAGAAGATGGACTGAAAAGAAGTTTCAGTGCCATCCTCAGTAGGACTTGGTACTTGCAAGATGGTGGGTGAATAAAAGTAGAAGTCAAAGAGTACCCCAATGAAGAGTTATGATGAGGGTATCAGCAACAGTGATTAGGAAGTGGCATGGGTTTGGAGATAGCAGGTGACATTTGTGGTGGAGTCTGAAGTGCCAGTGGGACTATAAGAGGAGATACCAGGCAGCCTTCAGAAAGAGAAATAAAGCTTCAGTGGTGCTGTGATTGCCCAAGGGATTTTTGAAACACTTTCTTTGGAACCATTCCAACAGAAATAAATTAAACTCTTTAGACTCTAAGCACTGACTAGATTATGCATTTGCATATGTAATTAAAAATTGTTTAAAATATACAAAACCATAAAATATGTATAAGGGAGTCCAATAAATTTTGATTTTCCCATGATGACTACTTTATGATTAAAAAAATACATGAAAAGCTTTAGCCCTGGATCTCTCCCTCTCTTTTTCTTCTCTCTCACTCACTCTTTTTGTCTGTCTGTCTATCTCTCGTGTCTCGGTCTCTTCCTGTACTTCTGTCTGTGTGTGTGTCTCTCTCTCTCTTATGCTGGTGTCATAAGAATGGCATTGGTCTGCCTTTTGGAAACCCCAGACTGCCTTCTGGGCCAGCTCCTAAGCCACACACCATTATGATTACATCACGTTTCTTGACCACAAAACAGCATTACTGAACTTGATCACCTAACTTATTCATTAGAAGTAGCCTCAAATGATCTAGCTGTTTCCAAAGAGCAAATCTCCCTCAAAAGGTAAAGGTAAACTCCCTGAAAGGTAAAACTGATAATTGAGCAAAGACTTGAAGAAGATGGGGGGAGTCAGCCCTGCTGATATCTGGGGGGAAAATGTCACAGGCAGAGTTAACTGCTAAGTACAAATGCCCTAAAAAGTGGGAATGTGCCAGGTTAGTTGGAGACTCAACAAGGAGAGCCGTATGGCTGGAGCCGGATGAGAAGGAAAATTATGGTATGACATTAGATCAGAGAGGTGGTGGGTGGAGTGGGTGAGACAGATCATCTTAGGGTTTTCTAAGCTATTTGATTACTTATTTTTTGACTTTAAAATTTTAATAATATATTTTCTTTAACCCAATATATCCCAAATACTATCATTTCAATATGTAATTAACATAAGAATTAATGATGCTGGGCTTTTTTTCATGCTAAGTCTTTGAAATCTGATGTGTATATCACACTTATAACACATCACCTAGAATGTGTTAACCAAGGCACTTAACATATGGGCTATGGATTTGTAAGCTATTTTAAAGACTTTGGTTTTTACTCAGAGAGAAATTAGGAACTAGGGGAGGATCTGAGCAAAGGTGAGACACGATCTGACTTTCATATTTAAACGATCCTTCTG